GGGACCCCAGAGCTGCCATCTCGGGGCTCTGGAGGGGGCCAGGGGATGTGTGTGACGCCACCTGGCCCCGCCCCCAGAGGTCTCCTGTAACTTTGAGCGGGACACGTGCAGCTGGTACCCAGGCCACCTCTCAGACACACACTGGCGCAGGGTGGAGAGCCGTGGCCCTGAGCACGACCACACCACAGGCCAAGGTAGGATGGGCCACTCAGACGGTGGCTTTCAGATGGGGGTAGGGCATCTCTACAGCTCAGCCCCATGTCCCTTGCAGGCTACTTTATGCTCCTGGACCCCACAGACCCCCTGGCCCGGGGCCACAGCGCACACCTGCTCTCCAGGCCCCAGATACCAGCAGTGCCCACGGAGTGTCTCAGCTTCTGGTACCACCTCCACGGGCCCCAGATTGGTGAGTGGGCCTGGAGCAGGGCAGGGGCTGTGGGGAGGCCCCCAGGGGTTCATTTCCCCCTCTGACACCCATGAGGTTCAGGAGAGAGGTCAGTTCTGGACTGGTCCCCTCCCGGCAGGGACTCTTCGCCTGGCCATGAGACGGGAAGGGGAGGACACGCACCTCTGGTCACGGTCGGGCACCCATGGCAACCGCTGGCACCAGGCCTGGGCCACCCTCTCCCACCAGCCTGGCTCCCGGGCCCCATACCAGGTAAGGCCTGTTGCCCAGGTGGGAGGACAGGGCAGTCCCCCAGCCGGCTGACACCCTCCACCCCCAGCTGCTGTTCGAGGGCCTCCGGGACGGATACCACGGCACCATGGCGCTGGATGACGTGGCCATGCGGCCTGGCCCCTGCTGGGCCCCTGATTACTGCACCTTTGAGGACTCGGACTGTGGTTTCTCTCCTGGAGGTCAGAGTCTCTGGAAACGCCAGGCCAATGCCTCAGGCCACGCTGCCTGGGGCCCCCCAGCAGACCACACCACAGAGACAGCCCAAGGTACGGAGGCCTGGCAGGGGCAGGGATCAAGGGGCTGGCCAGGGGCTGGCAGGCTGATGCTGGCACCTCCAGGGCACTACATGATGGTGGACACGAGCCCAGACGCACTGCCCCGAGGCCAGACGGCCTCCCTGACCTCCAGGGAGCACAGGCCCCTGGCCCAGCCTGCTTGCCTGACCTTCTGGTACCACGGGAGCCTCCTCAGCCCAGGTGAGGGGCTCTGGGAGGGGGCCGCAGGGGTTGAGGGAGGCTTGGCCTGGAGTCCCCACCAGCCTTCTGCCAAAACAACTGGGGAGCTTCCTGCACCTGCCAGACCAGGGAGCCCGGGAGCTCAGGGCCAGGGCGTGCAGGCACTCTCCCCACACTGCTGACCTGGGCTGCCCCTGCTGGCAGGAGCCCTGCAGGTCCACCTGGAGGAGGGCAGGAGGCACCAGGTGCTCAGCCTCAGTGCCCATGAAGGGCTTGCCTGGCACCTGGGCAGCGTGGACGTGCAGGCTGAGCAAGCCTGGAGGGTGAGTGCTAGCTGGGGTGCCCCTCTCCCTCCCCCACCCGAGGACTGCCTGGACCTGCTGAGGCTGCCCTGCCCTGTGCCCGCCAGGTGGTGTTTGAGGCAGTGGGTACAGGTGTGGCACACTCCTACATGGCTCTGGATGACCTGCTCCTCCAGGATGGGCCCTGCCCTCAGCCAGGTGGGAGACCTGCTGTGGCCCAGGGTGGCCCCTGCTCTGGGGCTTGCCTGTCCCTTTTGTCCCCACAGTGGTGGTGGCCAGGGCTTGGGCCAAGGGCAGCACCACTCACCCAGCCATGCCTTGCAGCTTCCTGTGATTTTGAGTCTGGCCTGTGTGGCTGGAGCCACCTGGCCCGGCCTGGCCTGGGTGGATATAGCTGGGACTGGGGTGGGGGAGCCACCCCCTCTCGCTACCTCCAGCCCCCAGTGGACCACACCCTGGGCACAGAGGCAGGTACGTTCTGCTGGAGCCAGGTGAGGAGAAGACCCAGAAGCCACACCCAGCCACCCAGCCTCCTGCTGCCCACCTGTGGGGCACACTCCCCATCCAGAGGAGGCCTAGCCCACCCAGCCTCTGCTTGGGCCCTGAGGGCTGGCTTTGCCCATCAGCTGGGCATCAGCCTCCTCTTGTTCCCAGGCCACTTTGCTTTCTTTGAAACGGGTGTGCTGGGCCCCGGGGGCCGGGCTGCCTGGCTGCGAAGCGAGCCTCTGCCGGCCACCCCAGCTTCCTGCCTCCGATTCTGGTACCACATGGGCTTTCCTGAGCACTTCTGTGAGTCCAGCTGGGCAATGGGTGCCCGGGCAGGGGGGGCAGCAGGGGTCCAGGAGCAAAAGTTGGGAAGGGGCCTCTCCGCCCCACCTCTGGTGAGGTTTGCAGGTGTCCCGGGACCCCAGGTCTGACACGCCCTGGCATTGCTCTCAGACAAGGGGGAGCTGAGGGTGCTGCTATGCAGTGCCCAGGGCCAGCTGGCCGTGTGGAGCACAGGTGGGCACCGTCGGCACCAGTGGCTGGAGGCCCAGGTGGAGGTGGCCAGCACCAAGGAGTTCCAGGTGAGGCCGCCTGTCTGGGCCAGGAGCGTCCCCTTCTTCCCCCCAGGGCCCACACAGACGCCTTTCCTTCTCCGTCAGATTGTGTTTGAAGCCACTCTGGGCGGCCAGCCAGCCCTGGGGCCCATTGGCCTGGACGACGTGGAGTATCTGGCTGGGCAGCATTGCCAGCAGCCTGCCCCCAGCCCAGGTGAGCCCTGGGCTGCAGTGGAGGCACTGGGGAGGGCCTGGGGGGCCAGCCTGGCACAGGGTTTGCTAGGCTTGCCAGTGTGTGGCCCTAGGAGCTTCGAGCACGCTGCACCCAGCCCATTCCTCTCTCTGCTCCGCTCACCCTGGGGCCACTGCCTGGGCTGCGCTGTCCCTGGGCCGCCTCCTCTGTGCCTACACCCAGGACAGGGTCTCTCTTGGAGGAGCCGCTAGCTGGGTCAAGGTAGTCACTGATTGACTGCTCTCATTGGGTGAGGGCAAGGATCTCACCTGGGGCCATGAGTCCCGCCAAGTCTTTGGACAGCAGCTGCCTGCAGGCCAGGCCCCATCCTTGTGCTGGCAAAACCAATCCCCGCTCTCTCTGAAAAGGATGAACCCCAGGAGCCAGCAGAGGCTGATGGGATCAGGCAGCCCTAGGCTTGCTCCTCAGCCTCAGACATGGGGGGCTGCTTTACAGGACTCAAGTTCCTGGACTCACTCGTCCCCACGGCCCACAGGTGACACAGCCACGCCCAGTGCCAGTGCCAGCTGTGGTTGGCGGTGCCCTCCTGTTCCTCATGCTCCTGGTGCTGCTGGGACTTGGGGGGCAGCGCTGGCTGGAGAAGAGGGGGAGCTGCCCCTTCCGGAGCGACACAGAGGCCACAGCCCCTGGCTTTGACAACATCCTTTTCAATGCAGTAGGCGCGCCCTGGAGATGGGTGGGCAGGAGCCTCTGCGCTCAGCTGTAACCCTGGAAGGCGGGCAGTGGTGGGACACAGCCCCTGAGGGAGGAGTGCCCATCTGTGCAGGGCCCATCCTTGCCCTCCCTGCCCTGCCTCTCCAGCCACCACTGTCAAAGCTCCTCCTTCTCCTCCTCCTAGGATGGCGTCACCCTCCCGGCATCTGTCACCAGCGATCTGTAGACCACCCTGAACAAGGCCCCGGTTCCTCACGTGACATCCGGCACTTGGTCAGACCCTGGCTGGGGACTTGGGCCAGGCTGCAGGTCTCAGGACATGCTGAGGCCTGAGCGTCCCTTACCCTGTGCTGAGTCTGTTCCTATGTGAATAAACGCCCTGGCCCGTGAGGGCAGCCCGAGCTCCCAGGCTGAAGTCAGTGTGTCCACACTTTACCCGCCGGCAAGGGTGGGGGCTGCAGTGTTCCCAGAAGTCCCAGGAATGTTCTGGAGGCGCCTGCTTGCTTCTGGACGCAGCTCAGGAACCAGAGACAAGGGGAGCCTCTCCCACCAGGACACAGACCCACCTAGGACAAAGGCTGGGGGTCCAGCCAGCTAGAGGCTCTGCGTACTGAGGACAATGGTGAAACTGACCCATAGGCTCAGGGACCTGCAGATCAGATGACCCTTAGGGCACAGGGCGCACAGAACAGGCCAGGATGGGAGAAGTGCCCAGGACAGGCCCACTGTCTGCGGTACAGGCCTGAGCTGCCACAGGGCTGTGGGTCACAGTGCCCAGGTCAACGGGTGTCCCAGGGCTGTGGCCGAACCCTTCCCTTTGGCCCCCATGCCTGAGCAGGAGGTTGTCCCTGTGAAGCTGTGACTAATCTGGGGCGCCAGCAGAGGACTACCATCCTGAAGCAGGGTCAGTGTCACTAACCTCAGTCAGCTCGCAGAGCTCTGGTCCTCCACATGGGTGACCTGGGCACAGCCCACCTGGTCTTGTGGCCTCTCAGGCCTGGCTGTGGGTGGCTGTCCCCAGTGAGTGGGGAAGCTGTGCAGCCAGGCTTCCCTCCTGCCCACAGGAAAGCCCCACCCTGCCTCATGGACACACATCTGTCCCCAGGAGCCAGGCAGTGCTAGAGGGCACAGTCTGCCCTGGGGACTAAGTCCTAGCAGAGAGTGGCGGTCAGGCGTGCCTAGAGTTGTCCCTTGTCTTCAGGTGCTGTGGAGCTTACCAGTGCCCGCTACCTGTCCACACAGATGTACAAAGAGAAAATGACCCTGTAAAGACCTTGAGAGCCCCCTGGCACCCCGCTACGGGGCACCAAGCATGACAATTCACTGGCCTTCCCTGTAACTAGGGGCCTGGGAGCTGAGAGCAGGACCATATGACCTGCCCAGGTGGCAAGGGCAGCAACTTCTCCCAGTTTCTCCTTAGAGCCGCATCCTGTGGCACCGCCTCCCTTCCTTCGACTTGGGCCCCACCCCTCACCCGTGCATAAAGAGGTGCTCAGACCTCCCCGAGGCGTCTGAGCCACACCCGCTACGAGGCAGACACCCATAGGACAGACAGGAAGGTGAAGTTCTGCACCCTGACCTGAGGAACGTGACGCAGACAGAAAAACAGCAGTGGCCAACGCTTTGCAAGGTTTGTTTGTTTGACAGCAGGGATGGGCTGGGGAGGCCCCCACCAGCTGGACCCCTTGTTCCGCTCGGCCCGTGAGGAGACCCACGGCGGTGCTGGCGGCCAAGGGGAACCGCGGAACGAGATCAGCCGGAGCGCGCTGATTTCGAGGCTTTGTGTTCATTTCGCCCGAGGCCCCTTCTCGATGGGCTTTCCAATGTCCTTCCCCCGGAGCTTGAGGCCTGAAATGAGCCACAACCACCTGCCACTGCAGCGCCAGCTCCCTCCTGCCCCCACGCCGCCCCTGTTGGACGCCTGCTGGGAAGGAGGACCACGCCACTCCTGTTCCTCCCGGGGCTCTTGGCACAGGGGCACTCCTGGGCCTCACATCTAATCTTTAAGAGGATGAGTCTCATCATCCTCGACAGCAGAACACAAAACCCTTCTCCGGAAGAACCAGAGCCAGGGTCCTCTGCAGAACTGGCTTCCAGCGCCACGTGCCAGGGCCCGGCCCCACTGTGTTCACGCTCATAGAGCCGCGCCAGCAGCACAGGCGGAAGGGACTGGCCGGGACGCCACTCGCTCTTGGGGAGTTTCTGAGGCCTGCAGAGCCCCCACCATTCCTTAGTCTATACTGCCTGGAGAAGCAAAGCTCCAGAATCCAGACAACAGGGGACCCCAAGGCCGTCATCAACCCCTGAGCCTGGCTCTCACCAACCCCAGCTGGGAGCGAGTGGCCTCCTGCCCAGGCCGAAGTGGGGAGGGACACTCACCAATGGCCCGCTCGATTTTGCCCAGCACCTGGTTATTGGGGATGGCCCGTCCACTCTCATAGTCTGCGATCACCTGTGGCTTCTCATTGATTTTCTAAAGAGAAGATGTGCTTTATACACACCTGCTCTGTTAGGACGTGCTGTGAACCAGGTGGGACACCCTGCAGGGCGCCACCTTCCAGAAGCGTCACCCGAGAACAACCACTTCTGGGGCCCCTGGGGTGCACAGCCACATGCAGCCAGGTCTCCGTGAGAGTTCGGCGGACCTGGCTTCCCAAGCCACTCCCTGCAGGAGCACCAGGTGGGTGGAGTCCGCCCTCCGTGTGCTATCTGAGCGCTGGCCACCCCCTCCCCAAGCTGACAGCCCCAGGGGGATGAGAGCCGGGCGCAGCCTCACCGTGGCCAGGTCCTTCTGCGTGAGCCCCTTGCTCTGCCGACCCTGCTGGATCACTTTGCCCACCTCCAGGGTCACCCTGTCATGGTGCAGCTCCTCTGTCTCCCGGTCCAGCTTGGCTGTGTTCTTGGTGATAGAATGCTGTTTGTTCTGGCCAGCAGCCCCTGGAGTCAGTGTGAGGCAAGAGCAGAGAAGAGGGTTTGGAATTAGCCTGGAAAAAAACCATTTCAGAGTGGTAACCAAACCCCAGAGGCTGCCTGAGCTCAATGGGACATGGGAAACCAGGCTGTCCAACGTTCACAGACCTCAGGGCATGGGCTTCCAAAGTTTTCTCTCAGTTATGGGGACAGGCAGCTGCACTGGTGCCAACCAGAGCTGCTCTGGGAAGATCACTCCTCCCAGGGCTCTGGCCAGCATTGGTGGGGGCAGGCGTGCAGCTGACAACTTCCCTGGGGGTGCCGCCCACACCACACACACCGGCACCCAGACCCCACAGCGCAGCCTCGCTGTGAAGGCGGAAACACAGGCACCTACATTTCTTGGAAGTTTCTACATCTTCTCCTCGTCTCTGTGCTGCTAAGATAGCCTAGAAAAAGAGAAAACATTAGTTGGTCAAAATGAGCTTCGGCAGCGTCCAGCACACACCGATTCAGGCCAGCTTTTAACCAGTTAGCACACTGCTGAGGACTAGTGGTGCCCAAGGGCTGATACGCAGTGCAGCGTTCAATTACCCAAGCTCAATTGGACACTGTGGCTCATGCCTATAATGCCAGCACTTTGGTAAACCGAAATAGGAGGATCACTTGAGGCCACAAGTTCAAGACCAGCCTGGGCAACACAGCAAGATCCTGCCTCCACAAAAAAATTTTTAAAAATCGCCAGGCATCCTGGTGCAAGGCTGTAGTCCCAGCTGATAGGTAGGCTATGGCAGGAGGATCACATGAGCCCAGGAGTTTGAGGCTGTGGCAGACTATAATGCCACTGCACTCCAGCCTGGGTGACAGAGTGAGACACTCTCTAAGTGTAACAAAACCCCAAACTCATTGTATAAAAGCTTCTACAATCAAACGTCCAAGAAACTCACAATACACTGCTACTAAGAGAACATCACTTCCTTTGCTGGTGAGAAACAAACACTAAGGGCTTTTTTGTTTTTTTTGAGACAGAGTCTCGCACCATCGCCAGGCTGGAGTGCAGTGGCACAATCTCTGCTCACAGCAACCTTCGCCTCCTGGGTTCAAGCAATTCTCCTGCCTCAGCCTCCTGAGTAGCTGGGACTACAGGTGCGCGCCACCATGCCCAGCTAAACTTTGTATTTTTAGTAGAGACGGGGTTTCACCATGTTGGCCAGGATGGTCTCGATCTCTTGACCTCGTGATCTGCCCACCTTGGCCTCCCAAAGTGCTGGGATTACAGGCGTGAGCCACCGCGCCCGACCTAAGGGCTTTTTATTTTTTTAGAGCCGTGGTCATGCTGTGTTGCCCAGACTGGTCTGGAACTCCTGGGCTCAAGTGATTCTCTGGCCTCAGCCTCCCTCCTGAGTAGCTGGTGTGCACTAGTGGGTTCTTTTTGAGAAGTCATGTTAAGCATAGATTTACTTTCGCTGGACTGTACTGCAAAAGCAGGAAGGAACACCAAATGCCGGCCGGGTGCTGCCTTCCTCCCCAACTCTGGCTCCCAGTAACACAGAAATGACGCATCGCATGGAAGCCTGCAGGCTCCCAGAAATGTCAGCAGTAACTGATGCCACTGGACCTGCAGCCACTAAATATTAATATCATGCATTTCTGGGCATTTTTAACACTTCAGAGACGTGACTTGTGGGGCATCCTAACTGTGATGTGTTCACAGACACAACTGTTTCCATGACTCCTAGCTTGTGGCCATTAAGTTTCCCTTATTTTATTTTATTTTTTTAAAGATGGGGTTTCACCATGTTGGTCAGGCTGGTCTCCAACTCCTGACCTCAGGTGATCCACCCACCTCAGCCTCCCAAAGTGCTGGGATTACAGGTGTGAGCCACAGCGCCCGGCTAAGTTTCCTTTAAAAGAGGCTAGGCGCAGTGGCTCACACCTGTAATCCCAGCACTTTGGGAGGCTGAGGCGGGCGTATCATGAGGTCAGGAAATTGAGACCATCTTGGCCAACATGGTGAAACCCCATCTTTTCTAAAAATACAAAAATTAGCCAGGCGTGGTAGAGTGCACCTATAGTCCCAGCTGCTTGGGAAATTGAGGCAGGAGAATTGCTGGAACCTAGGAGGCGGAGGCTGCAGTGAGCTGAGATGTCAACAGGGCACTCCAGCCTGGGTCACAGAGCAAGACTCTGTCTCAAAAAAAAAAAAAAAAAAAAAAAGTTTCCTTTAAAAGAAAAGGAGAGTGGGCCGGGCGCAGTGGCTCACACCTGTAATTCCATCACTTCAGGAGGCTGAGGTGGGTGGATCACGAGGTCGAGTTCGAGACCAGCCTGGCCAACATAGTGAAACCTCACCTCTACTAAAAATACAAGAATTAGCGGGGCCATGGTAGCACACACCTGTAATCCCAACTACTAGGAAGGCTGAGGCAGGTGAATCACTTGAACCCAGAAGCAGAGGTTGCACTGAGCCAAGATCACACCACTGCACGCCAGCCTGGGCAACAGAGTGAGACACTGTCTCAAAAAAAAAAAAAAGAAAAAGAAAAAAAAGAAAAAGAAAAAAAAAGAAAAGGAAAGTGAATTTGGTTTTGACTGTGCAACTAATAAGGGCAGGGCAGACCAACGAATACCTGTCACCTGAGCCCAACACATCCTGGCCCAGTGGCCTCAAAGGCTTCAGCCCTAGGCCGCCTGAGGGTATGCATGAGGCAGACACGGGGACTGAACTGTCCCTGCTATTACATCAGACTCACAGCTGATCCTTGGCTCCAACAGCCACACTACTGATCAGGGCACACCCGTCTTCCACCCGTGCAACTGGGGGAGGCAGGGTCCACCTGCTCATGGGGTCCCTAGACTCCCCAGACCTGGGGCAGCTTCTGACCAGCAGAACCAAGCAGGCCCCCCGGCAGAGAGAAAGCTCTCAGGGAGGACCGATCCCCTGTCGTCGACGCCTACTCAGCTCACCAGCCTCTGTCCCAGTCACCCAGTCTCCCGCCCCAGTCCCTCCACTGCTGTCCACTGGCCCCCAGCCCTATCCCAACCCCAATTCCCCACACACACCGCTGTTCCTGCTGCTTGCCCCAGTCCCCGCCCCTGTCCTCCCAAGCCCCGTCCCCACCTCCATCCCTCCCCCGTTCCCGTGCCCACCCTGGTCCTCTGTCCCCTACCCTGACACAGGGCCCCCCAGCCCCGTCCCCGCCCCCCGGCCCCACCTCCTGCATCTGTCCTCACACCCGTCCCCACCAACAGTCCCTGCCCTATGCCCCCCCGCCCCACCCTGGCACTGGCCCCAGCCCTGTCGTCCGCCCCTCTCATTCCCCCGTCGCCCGCACCCCGCCTCCATCCCCACCTGGGTCCGCCCCCCACCTTCCCACCCCGGCCCTGGCCCGGTCCTCCTGCCGCTGCGACACGCCGCGCCCCTCGAGCCCCGTCCTTCCCGCGGCGCCCCGGCCCGGCCCCGGCCGGCCCTTCCCGGAGCCCCCTGCCCCACGGTCCGCGGCTCCGGCCCAGCGTCCGCCCCGCCCGGCCCGGGCGCTCCTCCGTCAGCGAAGCACCTGCTTGGACTTGGCCTGGGCGGCCGTAGGGCCCTTCTTGCGCAGCACCGTCACCGTGTCCCAGTCGCTCTCGGCCATGGCGGGCGAAGGCAGGCGTCCCTCCGGTGGCTCCGCGGTCGCTGCTGCCCACCCGGCGCGCTAACGCGACGTCCCCCAGCACCTCCCCGCTTCCGGCGGCCGAGGCGCGGCCCCGCCCCCGGCTCCCACTGGCTGGCGGCTCGTGGGGGCGGGCCTTCCCGTGCTCAGGGCCAATCAGCGCTCGGCTCGTCGGAGGGACGCGGGGCCGCGCTCCGGCGACGTGGGGAGGGGGACGTCGCGGCCCAGCCTGGCGAGGCGCGGCGGCCACGCGGGGCGCGGGTCGGGGGACCCCTGAGCCGGCCGGGCCCCGCGGTGTCCGAGCGCCGCGACGCGCAGGCCCCGAGCCCGACCCCGCCGGGCCGCCCCGCCTTGTTTTGCCGCCCGCGCGGCTGGAAGCTCCGGGACGAGGCCCCGGGGCCCGAGGGGCAGGGCGGGCGCGGCCGCTTCTAAGGAAAAGAACGCAGAGCGGTGAAGCGCCAGTTGCAGACATGCGCGGTTCTGCATGTGTGCATTTCCCGTGACGTTACACGGCCCTCGCTGCGTCCCCGAACGCTGCAGTCGTCGCGCGTAATGAGAAGCGTCGTCACACACGATCATCCAACGGCCTTTTTGGGTCTGTATTTTTGCAGGCGGGGTCTGGGGTCTCGCTCTGTGGCCCGCGCGGCGCACGGCGGCTTCGGCGACCTGGCCTCTAGCGGTCCTCCGGCCTCAGCCTCCCGAATGGCTGCTGCTGCAGGTGCGACCCTCGCACCTGGCCAGTTTCTGTATTTTGCGGGACAGAGATGGGGACTCCTCCCTGGCTGGAACTCCCGAGCGCGACGGATTCTCCCGCCTCCGCCTCCCGAAGCCCGGGATTGCAGGCGCGAGCCACCGCGGAGCCGAATTGTACCTACTCCGAGCTTGGAGTGGAGGAGCTCCTGGGAGCGCTGCTGCAGGTTCATGCTGCACAAGCAAGAATCTGGATCAATGCAATCCCCATCCAAAAAGAGAACGTAGTCGGAATTGCTGCGTTCCCAAACGCACTCCTCAGAGGAGACAGCTCGTTCTAAGCAGGCAGTGGGAAGCTGGATCTTGCTGTTTTTCACACGGGATGACTGGAAGACATTTGCGGACCCGCGGCTGGCTCTGTACATACAAACCGTGCTTCTCTGCTCCCCGCGGACTTGTAGCACCAGGCTCGGTTCCCCTAAGGACTCCAGAGCCTCAGGCGGCCAGCAAGGATTCGAATGACCTGCATGAAAGTACCCCGTAAAGCCCCTTCCGCCACGGCAGCCTTGGCTCTTCGCTACCCTGTGGCCGTTGGCCTCAACAGGGGCCACAAGGTGACCGAGAACGTGAGCAAGCCCAGGCACAGCCTCCGCGTCTCACCAAACACACCAAGTGCATGCAGGAAGTGATCCAGGAAGTATGTGGCTTTGCTTCTACGAGCAGGGCGTCATGGTGTTCCCGAAGGTCTCCAAGGACAAACAGACCCTCAAATTCATCAAGAAAAGGCTGGGACGCACATATGCGCCAAAGGAAGCGGGAGGAGCTGAGCAAGGTCCTGGCCACCATGAGGAAAGCCGCTGCCCAGAAAGACTGAGCCCCCTCCCCTCTCCCTGAAATAAAGACTGAGCCCCCTTCCCTCTCCCTGAAATAAAGACTGAGCCCTTCCCTTCTCCCTCAAATAAAAAACAGCTGGACAGAAAAAAAAAATGCCTCATAAACCCTGACTGGATGTCTCTGCACTCAGGTCCCCCTAGTTGTGTGCCAGAAATGCTTGTAGCCCCTCCCGTGCCACCAACCCCCCGGAAGAATGTGAGGAAGGTGGAGCTGGCCTGGAAGAGGCGGCCTTGTGAACACTGCAGTTCAGGCCTCCTGTGTGACAGACTTAGCCAGCGCCTGACCTCAGCCATTGGGGGGCCCTTCTCAGAGCCTTGGAGACCCAGGCAAGTGGGGCTGAGCTGTCTCTGTAGTGAGCCTGGGCTGGGGGACAAGGGACCTCTGCAAGTGTCCACCAGGACAGCCGTCGTCCCGTCTGACCCTCCAGCACGAGTCCAGGCCTGATGCCACGAGTGGCCTGTGCTGTCCTTCCAGTCCCTCACGAAGGCACGATGGGTACAGATGTCTGTGTGAGGCTGTCCTCTGCTCACTCTGTCCCTCCCTGGGGTCATCTGGACGCACTCCCTCCTATTCCGGGATTCTTCCAACTTACTCAGGGCCCAGAGCAAAGCAACTGGCATGGAGAAGCGGCTCTGGGAGGCCCGTGAGCCTCTCAGACCGCACTGGAGATGTCACATCACTGTCTGCCTACCAGAGTTACCCGTTTAGCCTCACGTGTGAAGAAAAGACAATTCCAAAGCCTTCTGGAGAAAAGACGTCTCCTCATTTCCGTCTGCAGGTCTCAGCGTCTCTCTGGGATCATCTCCCTCCAGCCTTTCTCCATCCCTCCAGGACCATCCACTGTGGTTTCATCTTTCACGTAACTGAAAACGTCACTGTTTTCCCTTGTGTTGAAGGAAACACTGTTGTATAAATGTCATCCCATTGTCCGCTGACTTCCATCGTAGACAGTGAGAATCAGTGATCATTGTGTCCTGGCTCCCCAGCAGGTTATGTGACAATATGACGTGTCTTCTAGCTCTTTCAAGACTGTCCCTTTGTCTTCAGGTTTTGTTTTTTTTTTTTTTTTTGAGACAGTGTCTCACTCTGTTGTTCAAGCTGGAGTGCAGTGGCACAATCACGGCTCACTGAAGCCTTGACCTCCTGAGTGTTAAAACGTGTGTGCTGAATGAAGAGACCCCCTGAAACAGGCTTTGTGTGAGAACAAGGCTGTTGATTCACCTGGGTGCAGGTGGGCTGAGGCCAGAGTGAAGGGCGGTGGGATAGGAGTTGGTTTTATAGGTTTGGGATGGGCCATGGAACGTTACAGTTTAGGGCAGTTTTTTGCAAGCTGGCAGACGGTTTTAAGGGGTGGAGTCATGGGGTTGGCCAAGGTCAGTTACAAAGTCCAATGGCCCTGTCAATTGAGGCCCCAATAAGAAACAACAGGGAATGTCTCAGAGTTAAGCAGGCACCACAGGGGTTGATCATTCTTCCTCTCCATGATCTTACAGCCATTTCAGATTCTCTAATTCCAGAAGGCCCTCCAGAGGGATACGTGCAGCTCATGGGGGTCGCCATGTCGTCCATGGTGCCGTCAGATGTGACACTGAGCTCAAGTGATCTTCCCGCTTCAGCCTCCCAAAATACTGGAATTACAGGCATGTTCCAACACCTCCGGCCTGATCTTCAGTTTTCCTTTTTTGTATTTTTAGTAGAGATGGGTTTTCACCATGTTGGCCAGACTGGTCTCGAACTCCTGACCTCCTGATCCGTCTGCTTCGGCCCTGCAAAGTGCTGGGTTTACAGGCGTGAGCCACTGTGCCCAGCCCTTTTTTTTTTTTTTTTAAATTTTCATTAATTTATTTTGAGATGGAGTTTCACTATTGTCATCCAGGCTGGAGTGCAATGGCATGGTCCTCAGCTCACTGCAACCTCTGCCTACCAGGTTCAAGCAGTTCTCCTGCCTCAGCCTCCTGAGTAGCTGGGATTTTTATAATCACAACACCGAGCTAATTTTTATAATATTAGCAGAGACGGGGTTTCACAGTGTTAGCCAGGCTGGTCTCGAACTCCTGACCTCGGGTAGCCTCCCAAAGTGCTGGGATGGCAGGTGAGCCTCTGCACCCGGCCAGTTTATACCTGTTACTTACCTGATTTTTGCAGAAGTATAACTCCTGGCCCCTCCCTTTGAGATGACAGCAGAAGATGGTGGAGCAGAGAAAACGGAGCTTAACAGACTCCAGGCTGACTGTGCCTGAGAACACTCTCCTCACACCACCTTACTGCTCAACTGTGGCCAAAAGGATCTTGACACTGGCTCCTAGATGCCAGTCAGTCACTCACCTCAGTGTGGGATGAGATCAGCAACCGGGACAGGCCTATCCTGGCACATCAAAGCAAATGAGGGCATTAAACCTATCTGCAGGCCGGGCGCGGTGTAATCACGCCTGGAATCCCAGCACTTTGGGAGGCCAAGGCAGGTGGATCATTCGAGTGCGGGAGCTCAAGACCAGCCTGGACAACATAGGGAAACCCCAGCTCGACAAAAATAAAAACATTAGCTAGGCATGGTGGTGCACACCTGTGATTCTAGCTACTTGGGAGGCTGAGGTGGGAGAATGGCTTGAGCCCGGAGGTCGAGGCTGCTGTGAGCCAAGATCACACCACTGCACTCTGGGGATAGAGCGAGACCCTGTCTCAAAAAATAAAACAGGCTGGGTGTGGTGGCTCACGCCTGTAATCCCAGGACTTTGGGAGACAGAGGAGGGCGGATCATGAGGTCAAAAGATCGAAACCATCATGGTCAACGTGGTGAAACCCCGTCTCTACTAAAAATGCAAAAATTAGCTGGATATGGTGCGCACCTGTAGTCCCAGCTACTCAGGAGGCTGAGGCAGGAGAATCACTTGGAGAATCACCCAGGAGGTGGAGGTTGCAGTGAGCTGAGATCGTGCCACTGCACACCCGACTGGGCTACAGAAAAAGATGCCATCTCAGAAACAAACACGGAGCAGGAAAAGGCCATGACGAGAGGGTTCTTGGTAGGGTGTGGTGGCTCATGCCTGTAATAGCAGCACTTTGGAAGGCTGAGGCGGGTGGATCACCTGAGGTCAGGAGTTCGAGACCAGCCTGGCCAACATGGTGAAACTTTGTCTCCACTAAAAATATGAAAATTAGCAGGGCGTGGTAACACACACCTCAAATCCCAACTACTGCTTGGGAGGATGAGGTGGAAGAATCGCTTGAACTTGGGAGGTGGAGGCTGCAGTGAGCTGAGATCTCACCACTGCACACCAGCCTGGGAGACAGTGAGACTCCATCTCAGAGAAAAAAAAGAAAGAAAAGAAAAGTACCTCACGCTTGTGTGCCTGATAACAAAAATGACCCTAAAAAATCCATAACACAAAGGTTACTACAAACTTATACAACAAATATTTTTACAAGGATGTCCACCCAGCAGCCGCCTGTTCAACCTTGGACTGACATTGCCCCTGTACTTGATCTTTGTAGCCAAGAATAATTGTTTCAAATCAGTCATGAATCCTCGTTTTGTTTCCCTTTCCCTCTGAATCGGCACCATTTGCTGAGGCACTGCGTTCCCGAGGCAGTGTGCCGCTCCCTCATCAACACCTTTTCTTTTTTTTGTTGTTTTTTGGCGTTTCACTCTGGAGTGCAATGGTGTGATCCTGGCTCAGTGCAACCTCTGCCCCCACACGTTCAAGTGATTCTCCTGCCTTGGCTGGAGAAGTACC